TTATTCTTCTATAAAGGAGGAGGGAGTATTAGGCTTACTTCGACATTTTCTGTGGGTTAGGCTGAGGATTATGTGGGCAGGTTTGATAATCATTTGCAACTGGATAATCAGTCAAAGAAACATAGTGTTTGGCATACAACTACGAGCATGCGATGAAGGGTGAGCTTTACCCACGAGATAATTTTTTGAATTGAGTCGCTCTATTACTAGGTTTAAGATGTGAATGAATAACAAGTTGATGTGGTTTCTATGATAGGATCAATTGTATTTTAGGGGGGTGGAATGCACTACTGGGAAAATGAAGAGGTTGTGACCAGGTTCAAATCGTTTGCGTGTTGTATATTGAAACCTAAGTATTGCTGCAGAGTTCGTAATGAGTGTTCCGGGCTTGTCGTTAATTCCAGCATCCACTGGTAAGTTTCAATGTGAAAAGCGAAGAGACAACGATTAACTTGGTCAACAGAACAAAAAGATATTATTCTGTGACGATTTTACAGTTTTAATGGTTCTTGTCCGCTACTGGAATGAGAAGATACGTTTTAATGAAATTAAATCTTTTCTCTTCAATGTTATCAGGGTTTTCGCTTATTCACATTAATAACCAACACGAATTGTAGTTGAAGAAAAAGGAAATTATTTTTGTTCAAGATAACTTAAGTGAGGTATGTGAAGTCTTGGGCGTTTTATTGTATTAAACACAAGGACTTTTCTTTTTTTTGACAATACAAAACTTACAGTACTTACTTACCATGTGCGATACTTAAGCTACTAACAGTACTATACTCTACTTACAAAACAGTACTTGCTTACAATGTGAGATACGCTACTAACAATACTATACTTTACTTACAAAACGGTACTTACTTACAATGTGAGATACTTACGCTACTAACAATGCTATACTCTACGTTTTACTTATAAAAAAAAAAAAACATACAGATACTTGTGTTACTTACAATACGGATTACCTACGCTGTAAAATCCAGAAAATAAAGGGGGGCGGGATGTATGGTAAATTTTAGTGAACTGAGCTTCAAACTCAAAGGAAATCAAAACGACTAAAGATAGTTTCCCTGCTGATTCACTGAAATTTAGCTTTGAATATTGAGGCCAGGAAAATAGGAAGGGAATGTCTGGTAGAAAGGAAAGTGTAAAAAGATCGAGAGACTTCAAACTGGTGAAAGGTCACTAAAGAGAGAAAGGTTCAATTTCTTTCTTATATTGTTTTAAAAAAGGCTTAAAATTTTCAATAGTTGG